TCCTCATAAAAATTCGTATGGCATATTTCACAGAAATAGAAGAAGCAATCGCAAAATTTGTATGGAACCAGAAAAGACCCTGAATAGTCAAAGCAATCTTGCAAGAGAACAAAGCTGGAGGCATCACATCCCTGATTTTAACTATATTACAAAGCTATAGTAATCAACAAAGTGTGGTACTGGCATAAAAAGCAGATGCAATGGAACAGAACAGAGACCCCAAAATAAACCCACCCAAATATGGTCAATTAATCTACAATGAAGGGGCCAAAAATATACAATGGAGAGAGGACAGTCTCTTTAATAAGTGGAGTAGGAAAAATTGGATGGCCATATGCAAAAAGAATGAAAGTTGCCTGTATCTTATGCTATACACAAAAAATAAACTCAAAAATGGATTAAAGACTTAAATGTTTAAGACCTAAAACTATAAAATTCCTAGGAGAAAACCTAGGGAAAAACTCCTTGACTTTACTCTTGGTGATGATTTGCTTACATTTGACACCAAAAACAAAATGTTTCTGTACTAAATGTTTCTGTATAGTAAAAAAAATCATGCACAAAATGAAAACGCAACCTATAGAAGAGGAGAAAATATTTGTAAATCATAAGCTGATAAGGGTTAGTGTACAAAATATATCAAGAACTCATACGACTCAGTAGTATAAAACCCAAACAATCTGATTTAAAAATGGGCAGAAGATCTGCATAGACATTTTTCCAAAGAAGACATACAGATGGCCATGAACATAAAAGATACTCACGAATCATAAGGGAAATGCAAACCAAAACTGCAGTGAGAAATCACCTTATACTGTTAGAACAGCTATCATTGAAAAGACAAGAAATAACAAGTGTTGTCCAGGATGTAGAGTAAAGGGAACTTTTGTGTACTGTTTGTGGAATAAATTGATGCAGCCACTATGAAAAATAGCATGGAGTTTCCTCAAATATTTTTTGAAAAACTAACATATGATCCAGCAATTCTAATTCTGGGTATTTATCTAAAGGAAATGAAAACATTAACTCAAAAAGATATATGCACCCCTGTGTTCACTGCAGCATTACTTATAATAGTCAAGACGTGTAAACAATCTAAGTGTTTATCAATAAATGAATGGATTTAAAAACTATGATATATATAGATTTATATGTTTATATATTAGAATATATTTGTAACAATATGGGTAGACCTCAAGAGCATTATCCTAAGTAAAATATGTCAGACAGAAAAAAATGAATATGGTATAATCTCACTTATATGTTGAATCAAAAAAAAACCAAAAACTAAAAAACCAGAGGACAAACAAAAAACCAGTCAAACTCATAGGCACAGAGAACAGACTGGTGGTTGTCAGAAGTGGATGGTGGGTGATGTACAAAATGAGTGAATGTGGTCAAAAGGTGGTCAAACTTCTTTTTATAAAATTAAGTCCTGGGGATGTAATAAATAGCGTGGTGACTGTAGTTAACAATATAGTACTGTATACTTAAATGTTTCTAAGGGAGTAGATCTTAAAAGTTCTCTTCACAAGAAAAAAATTTTGTGATCATGTGTGGTGATGAATGCTAACTAGATTTATTGTGGTGATCATTTTGCAATATATACATATAACAAATCATTATGTTATACACCTAAAACTAATATAAAGTTATGTCAATTATATCTCAATAAAAAAGAAAACAAAATAGAAGTTATTTTACTGCCTAGTATGATTCTCTAATATTGCTGAATAAGCATAAGGTATCCATTATAAATAGTGATGATTCTAGAATATTCCTGAAGCACATTCTTAACAAATACAGATAATATACTCATTGATAATCTTAGGATAGTCTGCAGGTCTCGATTTCCTCCTCTGTGAAACAGTAGTGTCTATTAATTCCTAAAGGCTCTAAAAGTCTCTAAAAGTCTAGGATTCCATAGTTTCTATTAAGAGTTCAAGGCCTGGTTTTGAGAAGTGATTCTTAGTTGAGTAGTAAACAGGTATTACAGGTATATTGAAAATAATCAGTGCTTATAAATGACAAATCTCTATAGCTATGCTGTCAAGGTCAGACTATGTTCAAAGTTAAATATTTGCTTCCTTACAGTTTATAATTTATATCTTACAAAAATTATAATAAAGCTAAAATAAAGCCAGAGAAAAAGCTAAGAATCCCCAACAAGGCAGGGGAGATGATTTTTTTCCAGGAAACCAGGGGAAGCTGTTTATAAAAACTGCACATTTAAGTTAGTGTAAAGATTTTTGACAGTCTTAAAAATTATAAAAAGATGTCTTTTTCTTAATGTTTCTTTATAGAAACTTAAAATGCCAATTACCAATATACAGATACAACCGAAATAAAGAAACTTTTTCTAAGTAGAATGAGATTTATGCATTTAAACTCTTTTGAGGTAGTAGTGAGTGCTTTTCTTTTGGCGACTAATTTCATTTTGTCCTTAAAAAGTATGTATTGCATTTGTATTCCATCTTTATTCCACTATCATTTTGCCATTTTCTGCTACTTCGCTCATTTTATAAAATTAAAGTAGGGTTTAATAATGAAAACACAAGGCTATTACGGTAATGGGAGCAAGGATTAAAAATTATATCCATTTCAAATTCACATTAAGTTGTAGTTTTTGATCACCTAAGCATAGTTAATTTTATTGCTTTCTACTCTGTACCCTAGTTATAATCAAAATGGAAACTTCTTCCTGGTTTTGACCTTAGTTTCCTTTCTGTTCCTGCTGTCACTGTCCTGGCCTAGCCTCAGGCTTGGCTTCACCTTGGCTGTTCCATGAGCCTCCTTTTCAGCTGGCCTCTGCCTCCGGGGCCTTCCACTTCAAGCATTCTATAAATGCAGCTACAATAATTTTTCTAAAGCAGAATTATGATTATGTCTTTTCTCTACTAAAACTCTTTCTTGGCCACTCACTGTTTACCTTAGTCCTATCTGCCATTCCAGCCATTCTTGATTTTCTCCCAAACTACTCTCACTCTTAACTGTGTACCTAGAGGGAGCAGCAGGAGGGTACCTGGCTCTCCAAACTACTTGTTAGCATCTAAATGCAATCTGAGTTTTTTCATCTCCTTTACCATGCTATTGACTCTAACAGGACAAATAAATGAAGAAAATAATCATAACCAATTATAATTTCTATGTATGTCACAAATCTTTTCAGAATTCTATAGTGTGCATATGCCACTAAACCTAACAAGTCACATTCGTAACAATCTAACTGAAAGAGGCATACTTATATTTGTAACTGAAAGTTCAGCACTATCATTCCATATTTACTATATATAAAATTTATTCTTTCACCACTGGGATGGGATTCCTTTTAGTTGCCAAGGTACATGAGGCCAGCGGATGGGATCAGTCCAGGAAAAAGCATGCCGTGTTGAACTCCCATGCAACAGAAACAGATTAAACCTAATTTGCTGACCTGTCTTGTTTTTGTTCAGTTCATTTATCAGTGTAATACAGTAAAAACAACTTTAAAGTGGATGTCAAGAGACCTGTAATTTAGTTCCATTTCTGCCATGACCAACTATATAACTTTCAGGAAATCATACAACTATTCTGGTCCTCATTTTTTTTTTTTTTCATTTACAAAATGGAAATCTGTCTTGCTTTAGTATACATGCATAAGGAATTATTATTTTACTTGCCATTCCCTACAACATGGACCTTTTTCTGTATCTATTTTTCTTCTCAATTCTCTATTATTCCCAAAGCTTTTACAGACTCCATAATTCCATTTCAATGCCACTGAGGGTCCTAGAGAAGGAAGCAAACCCCAAATATCACAAACAATGTTCAAATATATTGCTTTTAGGATGCTGATTAGATCATTTCTTAGGCCTTTCCTAGCTTTAAAATAGTAAAATTCTGTATTCAAATTTATATCTGACATTCACATATCTCTTATAATAAAAGAAAACTGCAGATATATAAACATCATCCTAATAAGACGTGCTTGGACATGACAAAATTTCCCTGTCTCACGATTCTAGACCTCACAAAGATTTAGTATTTCTGTCTCCCTCTAATGGACATAAAACCTTGCGGGACATCACACGTCTCTTGTATTAATTCATGCTACAGTTATTCCTTTTACATCTGAATACAGGTTTAGGTTTTAAATAAATGTGTGAATTTGAAACAAATCATTGAAACATATTTTAACTTTAATTCTTATATTGCTAGTTGTGATATGAGAGATTCCTAGGAGGAATTCTTACCAATTCTTACCAATGCATTCTTGGGAGGGAGAAGCAAAGATTCTCAAAATGTCTACTTTGTGAAATATAGATACATATGGACAACACACAGGAAAATAAAGGAACTGTTTGCTCCCAAAACTAGGCTGCTCATCCTAATCCAAAGAATAGAATTTAAAATTGAGATGGCAAACATACTTATTCCCCTTCGGCTTACTAACTTTCCTCCCAAAGTAGACATTGATAAATTGATACTAGACATGAAACCTCTTCGCTATACCTGTTCTAAAGATTTACCTACCTGAAGTCCAACCTAGCTGATACTGCCATCCCTTTC